GCACATCAGTTGATGTTTTCAAATTCAGTTTTCAACCATGTTTCAAATAAATATCTAATTTAAATTACAAGATTTATTGTATTTCCTGTTAAAACTTATAATAGGAAACATTTTATTCCTATAATAAGTTATGAAAATAAATTATTTCCTTAGATTAAGAAGATATTTATTTTCCTATTTTATATTTATCTCATTGCCTTTCTCTACCGTTAATTATGATTTAATTACATTTTTTTTGTTAATAGTTCTCTTCTCTAATAATTAATATGAATTAATTATATTTTTTTTTTTTGCATATCATGTGATATATTTTTCCTTTCATATCATTTTATTATTATTTCTCCTATTATAGGATCCTTGCAAGGGTTATTTATACCCCCGTTCATATCAATGAAATGAATATCAAGTATTTCATAATATTTCACATTATTTTTGAATTTTAACAATTACAAATAAAATTAAACCACCAAATATATATACAATTTAATAACTAATCAATTTAGATAATTTATTTCTTAGTTAGTATCCAATTAATTATAATATTTTCAATTTAGTTTAGATATAATTGAGAATTTAACTTAGAAAATAATTGCTTGTTAACGTCAATTTTTTTTGTTACGCTTGTAGAGTGTCCACATGACTAGCTCGGGATGATTCATGACTCATTCATAGTATCCTGTATCTCAAGACACCCATTTGAGACCTTCGGTACGTATTCGGGGTGCAAAGGTCTGGGATGATTCATCCTTAACCGGGAGAATCTGCCATTGAATGGGTTTACTCAAGACATTGGACATGTTTGATGTCCATCCAAGTGTTTAAAGGTCCCTCTATATCCCTTCAGAGCATCCCTTGGTCGAGAGAAGTCACGGAGACCTCCCCGCGCCGTAGTCAGGAGTGCCCGTTGGTGACAAATTCTCCGATTAAAGGATGAGAAAAATACTCATTCTTGAGGTTAGGGAATCATAATTCAATCATGCTTGGTCCCCACATCTCACAGATCGAAGAAACCCTCCACCAGACGATCTATGCTAAAATCAGCATTGTCGGGCCAAACTAGCTCCTAGACGCTAGCTCCGGGTGCCTAGGCGTCAGTTTCGGGCGCCTAGGCACCCAAAACAGCTAAAAACGGCATTTTCCCAAGAGACAGGAAAGTTGGCACCAGATTGGGCGCCTAGGGTCTGATTCATTTCCAGGTCACAATAAAGCCTATTTATGGCGCCAGTTCCTTTTCAGGTCGCGATAAAGCCTTTTTATGGAGCCCATTTGACGCTGACGCACTCCCCAACGAGTCCTCATTGCAAAGATCTCATTGGGCATGAGAAGATATGCATGGGGGGTGTTAAATCCATGGTTTTAGCCTTATTTGGATGCCCTAAGTAACAACCCCCCTCCCCCTTTCCCAACCCTCCCGATTAGACATTCATGGGGGAGCACTTAGAGATTTGTCACTTGCCAAAAATTGATTTTTCTTGAGTGACTCTAAAGTATCACAAGCTACAATAATCTTAGCCTTAAAATTAAGGAGTCCCTTGCCCAAGAAACAACCACCTTGCTTGACAAATGAAGTTGCCTTTTTTAAGTGACCAATATTTCTTGAATCGCCATAATTATAAAGCTTGTTCTAAAAGCTCACCACTAGCGGATAGGAATTATTTCAATAGGATTAAGCCATCACTTTAAGAAATTGGTCATTTCTGTTGTCATCTCCTATACTCTCCACATTGGGTCTACAATGCTAACCAAGTCCTTGGAAGGCAAACCCTCAGAAACTTCGAAATGACCACCTATCTAGAATAGCAACTAATGGTACCAAGCACATGGATAAATCGACAAATATATCTTTAACATAATGAACTAGTTTTGATGAACTCAAAACATTACCTTTCTTAGGAGTAACTACGACATCAGGAAGGAGCCTTACCGAGTCCAACCCCCAAGAATGTGAAACACTTGTTGAAGTAGTGATGGCGACATCCTTTTGGACGTGATTCTCAATACTGGCAATAACTACCATAGTAACCAGCAGCTCTACATGAAAGGCCAGTATCTATGTGATCTAGTCCTGCTGCACCACCATTAAGGTGAGCTGTCACAATATTAGAAACAAACAAATAAATAAGTCAATGAATCTTGGCCAACTTCCGAACTCAAACTCCACCACATTCTTCTCAAGGTAGGTTGCTGTGAACATCCTATGTCAAAATCATTATTGGGGTCACATCATCTATTGGGGTGTCACTTTATCCCTTTTCATCTTTTAAGGACTACCACATCACTATTTTCCTTTACTCAATTGTTGGTTTGGAGCTCCTAAGCATCACGATCATCACCACATCATCAATAACATCAAAATATCTAATGTCGAAAATTTGGGATGCAAACGATCATGAAAGGAAATCACAACCTTAAAGCATTTGTAGAAGGATGAAGAATTTATATAAGAGCAACCCTGATTGAATTGGACAACATGATAAACACGTCATATTTCGTGAATAGGACTTATTTACACTACCAGAGAATAATAAATATGAAATATAGCACTAACAACATATCATAAGCAGAATATAAGGTCAAGTAAACAGTAAAGAAAATTTTGGCGCTAGAGCAAGTGTTGTATGAACTCATCCCAAAAGTTAGTATAAATCTCTCATTCTCTTGTTCTTCTTCCAATCGTTTTTCAAAAAAACGAGAATCGAGAAACTAGATGCGCACCCCTGATACAAATTAACCTTGAGTAAGTAACCCAGACAAGCTCGCTATGCCAAACTCAGCATCATGTCTACAAAATAAATTCAATACATACTTCTACCAGATTTGATGAAAGATTTTAAATGAATGAGCCCAAAACATGTGTTCACCTAATCGGGCTGAAGGCTCCTGTCCTCTAGTGATGAGTCATACCGATTCACACCCAAAGAAAGCATAGGACAACTTCATCTTCATACAAATCAGACTTCATAAGTCAGTCAGGTCAAATAAGCCTACTACAGTCATCAATGCACTTCAATCTAGTATGAGATCAGGTGACCTCTCTAGTGAATTAGCAATTCTGCATAATTTTACGTCAAGGCCTTAGCCCTCTTGTGCTTTTAAGAGTTTACATAAGTATTTCTCATCATGTAACTTGTCCAGCAGCGTTAATGACCCCAGATTATAACCTATAAATAATAAATCTCAAGGAGATCCAAGGGTTCACACCATTTCAATCTTTTCCTATTAGTTAATTCCACCTCAAGCCATTCATTAGTGAATCTTATGTCCCTTATTCTGCATTTCTTGCTCTTTCTTACTTCGATGTGGTTCTAGGTAGTTTAGAATTCAGCACTTATCATCATTAAAATGAGAAACTATTAACCCCAAACACCCTGCTCCATGCCATATTTTGATAATCTCGAATATGCTAAAAGATTTAGTCTAATGGTTTTATTTGAGGTGTGCACATAAATAGATTCTACCATCAAGTCATTGGATTAACAAATGAAGATTGAGCTTCATAGTAGAAATAATTTTTATTTTCTAATATGCGAATGCCACAAAAATAAAAAATCAAAGATGTTAAACAAGTCAGCTAAATAACAAGTAAAAATGCATATGAAGAAAAATCTATCTTACATATATTAATTAATTTGTTATTAAAGTAAACTAATTTTAAATTACTATACCAAATGTTTAAAGATGTAAACTAAATTAATTTTTCCAACATAGGTTTCAAATATTTTGAATTTAAGAAGATATGAAAATAAGTTCTACTAACGAGCAGTCAAGCACTAATATACGAGTCTCTTTAAACAAGTAACAGATCACAAATCTTTATAGGTGTGCCTCATTATCAAAACATAACTTTTGATCAAAAAACGTGAGCATTAACGACCATTCACAATATTATACGGACCTCTGCTAAGCACTAACAGGTAGCCGCAGTGAAGTAGTGTTTTTAGCCAAGAACCTAAGCTCTACCAGACATCAGCAAAAATTTTAAGGGCCTTCGCAAACCTCTTTATAAGCCGCCATTATTTGTCCACTATCTATAAACTTAATGGAAGCTTTGAATTATACGTAAGCAACCCATTATAAGGATGAATACCTGACAAACTCATACGATTTCATTGATTTTGACCAAAATTAGACTTATTTCAAAAGAATAACACAATTGCAAACATATTTTTGAATTCAAAGGCATAAATGTGCATATTCATGTTAAAATTTGAATATGATAATGGAAAACCTGCAGCAAGCTTATCCCAGTCTTGGCCACTTCTAAACATTGCAAAATAATTTCAGCAAAAACATTTATTCTTATAACCTTAATTCGGGAAAATGAAATTGGATTCTTCAAGCATTCATAGATTTGCATGTACGATAGTTTCAAATTGAATTTTATCATTCATAGATTTGCATGTACGATAGTTCCAAATTGAATTTTATCTTCAATGTTCTAAATTTTTAGTTTTTTTTTTTTTTTAGCCAAGCTGAGGGTATGACTTCACTAAAAAAGTGAGATTGTAGAAAGCATCTCCACCTGCGTGGAATGAAAAAGTAATTGCCAATTGCACATAGGCTCTCAAAGCTTAACCAGATAAAGATTTACATATATACCACAAAATTCTTATGTATTTACATATCTAATACCTAAAGCCACCTTGCCTTGATATAAAATGGTGTATTCCACTACTTGAAATTTAAAATAGTGGTACTTTTTATGTTGAATTTGAAATTTGGGTGATATAAATGTAAAAAAAAGCAAAGTTTGTGTTAGACATGCAACTACAAAGAAATTGGAATTTATGTATGTAAATGCCCCAATTATATATGATTTGTCACCGTACTAGATCAATATCTTTTTTTATTCTCTTTAAAAGAATTCAAATTTAAAAAATTCAATTTGAATCTAAAAAAAATTCAAAAATTATTTAAGATCAAATTCACCCTCTTCTTGAGTCACGCATAAACCATCACAAACATCTGCAAGCTATTTGAAGTATCAAGCTGTGAGAAACAAAACAAAGAAACAAGCATATGCAGGTTTTGAAGGTGAAGTTTGTTCATATTGTTCTTCTACAAAGCACATGATTTCTGTTCATGTTAGAGTATTCTATCAATATTTCAAGTTTCTTTAAATAGAACTATCCGGGAACTGTAAAAACTTGAATAATGACCACACACAGGTGATTCAGTTGAGAAATAGAACCACAATAACTTCATAAAACAAAAAAAAATCACACCTGGATCTGAACTCAGTCTTCCTTGTTTGAAGGCTGGTAGCCTTGCTGGTCTGCATTATTGGAGGAGGCATTCATATCTTCACCCTCTGGTTGAGTTTGTCTTCTATAATGAACATCATCTCCTTGTTTTGCCAATTTCTGGAGAAATATTAAAACAGCTACCAAAAAGACAATCAGGTACACAGTTTTCATACCAACAAGAGAGTTAATAAAGCCTATAAAAGAAGGGCCGCTGATTCTCTTTTTAATTGTTCTCCCCGTTCTGAATCCTTCAAGAAACCGACTAACTTGAGATGGCTGATCTTCAAAATCATTAAGGCTCTCAGAACCTTCAACCTGAACAATGATATAATCAGTCATAAACAAATGCTAGATTAAGTTAGGATGATAGCATCAGAAATGCAGAATTACAAATTGGAACATTTTAATCGAAACTATCAAACTGGTTCTTTTTTTTTTTCTAAATAAGGTCGCCTAAATGAGCTAATCCTACTAAATTTATAAATTACGTCCGTCAAACTGGCATTTTAGCTAAAATCAACCAACAATGATCGCCTTAAATGACATAAATTTAGCATGAAATGCAGTATATAATGATATTTACTGATAAATTTAAGGAATTATCAAGTTGAAGGAGGTCCTTTTTTTCGCTTCATTAATGTGTTCACTGTGACGTTTGGTGTGCGCGCAATTTGTAGGCGTTGACTGCTGCTGATGAAATTAAATCAACTCATTTTACTGCAGGAGAGATATGTGGCAGCGCACTGTTCATATTCCCTCCTCATCGCCAGAATTTAAGCATCGGAAGATAAAACCAATAAGGTGTGAACTATAATCTTCTAGGGTTTAACAAAACAACACTCTTCCTAGAAAAGTTTAAGAAAATTTTTACTCTCTACTAATAAAAAAGACTAGGGAGCAAGTCTAGACTGCATAAAATCAAACTCTGTTATCAGTTTAAAATTTTTCTTAGATAAGTTGTCTTGTTATTATCATCTCAGAAACATTAACATAAAGCCAATGTCAGGTATAACTCTTACCAACGCCCAGGCAATTTATACACATGGGATGGAACAAGGAAAACAAAATAAACATGGAAATAAAAACACAAGCTAACTTAACCGAAAGGAAAATTGGCATACCATTGTCATTATTCAGTTATGATTACTCTCTCCTGCTTAGAAGAATACAAAATTAGATGGACTTTTCTTTTGATAAAGCTAATTCTGAGCTAAGAAACTAAGCAAATTAATTACAACTCAGATATGTAATGATTATAAGAAAGCCCTAAGTCCTGCAAAGAGAATAGTGAATAAAACAGAAGTTATAGCTTTTGATGATTTATTAAGCTTGGTATTAAAAAAAAGGAGCGAAAGAGATACATAGAATATGTGAAGTTTAATTTGAGAGATTCCGAAATTTTGATCAAATTAGATGCTTTACAAATGAAAATAATAGAATTTTAATTAATATTGAAGACATCAACAAAAAATATTAAAACACTATTTTAAAAAATTACTAAATGAGAGCTTCAAAGAAAAAAATTATATAAGATAATAACAAATAATATAAATTTAATTATAGATTGGTTCATAAATGTGACATGAAATTAGGTCCAAAAACAAAATCACCCCAACGGACTGCCGCATCAGTTTCCCAAGTTGGGGGAGCTTCGTTGAAGCTACTGACTTCTCATGATATGGTATCAAATCGGCCACATTGCAGGTGTTGGAGCTACCATAACTTCCCCTTAAGTCACACTTGCACACGTTGTCATCTCAAAACACATTATGATAAAATAAGTATCCATTCATTTTTTGCACAACTTGAGCTAGAGTTGCATATTGGCGTAGATTCCCATTAGCCAAAATTTAGAGCAAATAAATCTGTAATCTGGTTCTCCCACTCCTTGTATTGGGCTAGATATTTCTGATAAACAAGTCTTTCAAGAAGAATTAACTCTAGAACAGCATCTATGGCCGGTTGGCTCACACTGAAGCGTAACAACTCAAGAAAAGTCTCTTCTTTTTGGAAAGGACCCAGATCACACTATAAGAAGTTTTTGTCCCCAAATATCCTAAGATGATTTCTAATGTTGTCGTTCATCCATCCTATCTGATCATTTGTTGATGGGTATACTAATGAAATGATTCTAATACCCAAATGACTCTGTATAGTCTTTCAAAAGTGGAGAAAAAGAGTATCATATCTAACATTTTGAACTTCTCTCGCAGGGGCAACTCAAGAAATAAACTATATATCTGAAAAAAGTCTAAAATTATCTTATCTAGAGTTGTCATGTGTCTGGTGTCAGTTCTTCGAACTTAAGACCATCTTTGACCACCAATATTAATTTTGTTAGTCTCTCTCAAAGGCTAATCTTGAACTACGTGCATTTCTCCCTTATCAGTTAAAATCAAGTACTCTTTTATGTCCTCACATTCTTCAGTGTCTACAATTTCATTGTTCATTTCTCCAACAGTGCTTTGCTCAATAAAATAGATCATTCCCTAATTGTGCAATCTGATTCAAGAGTACCCGACCGGAACATCCAAGCTGACCCCGCCTGAGGATGTTGTTGTGACGGGTGAGGCCATACACACATATCTTTCCTATAATGTGTGGGTAGATATTGGCGTTGTATTTCTCTTTTCATATTAGACCCGTTAGTAATTTTACTCCTCTTTTTGCTGTAGAAAAATATTCAAGTTCACCCTTCACTGAGATGCACTTTTCATTAACTTGCTGAAGACTAGTTTCATCATTTCTTCTGATGAAATAACCTGACAATCAAAGACACATTCTAAAGTCCAAAGCCACTAGATGAACTTGTTTGGATCCATGTGGCAGTCGAAATATAACAAATCCAAATTTACTTCCAAATTCTGGTTTTTCCAATATTCCATGCCAAATCATTGGGGTAGCAGTTCTTCATCTTAAGGATCAAATGGAATTTGTGTTACCCCTCTGAATGGTCTCTTTTTGAAGGCAGTGAGCCTCTATTGCAGTTGGAGGGTTTCCCAACGCACATCCTTTATAGAAGGTTCTCAGACATCTCTTAGCAGAATTCTCATAAATGGCGTGAAATTTCCTTTCGAATAGGTCTCCGACAATTGTCTCTTCGATGGTGTGGTTGGGGTTTGAGTTTGGGTAAGTGGAAGAAGATGTCTAGGGATGAAGGTGGGAAAGAAAACTTTTGAGTGGTCGGTTTGAAAAATCGGCGAAGTGAATGATTTTTGTGTAGAGCTAGAGTTGGGTACTGGTGCTGACTAGAAACAATAGGATTTTTGTGCAGATATAGTGTTGATCTAGCTCTAATACCAAATGATACTGGAGTTAACCCAAACAATAATGGGAACAAAAAATATTATTACTAAAAGCACATAAAAGATTACAACCAACACTCTGAAACGGGAAATAACAACTGACTCCACACACAAACACAAATATAGGATGATCAAGGGGTGGTGGAGTGCGGCTAGGTGAGTTGGAATTGGTAGGTCGGGGTGTTGGAGAATGGTGGTTTCGGCAATCAAGATTCTTGAGAGGTGAATGAGGTGTGGTTGGGCTTGTGGGCGACTGGAGCAATAGTTGAACAGCAGATAGGCGTTGTTCTGGGTGGCAGTAGCAAGAGGGAATGCTGTCGGCAGCAACGTAGAATGCAAGGGACTAAATGACAGTAAGAGGATGAATGTTCGTGGTGGAGGCAGCGAGGAAAAGTAGCTGGAATTGGAAAAAAATGTAGTGAAAAAGCGACGGAGGTTGTTCGACGGCAGCTACAGCAATGGAGGGCGACTGAGAGCGTGGGGGGGTGTGGAAGGGGATATGGAAGATAATCACCACCTCGGAAGTGAGATACTGCCAGAGAACCACCCAACCCCTCGGATAGAGCCCTCGAAAGGAGAAAATGAGCATCGGAGGCTGCCCTAAACAAACCCGCGCTAAAAAGCGAGTTAAAAAACAAAGAAACAACATATATAATATTAGAGTAACTAAAGAGTAGACACTCAATCTCTATAGACGGTAATCCACGTAAAGAAAGCCACCCCCCTGCATTTCTTCCTTATCAGTTGGAATCTGGAACTCCTTTCTGTCCTCACCTTCTTCTTCATCTATTGTTTCATTTTTCATTTCTTCAACAACACCCTGCAAGCGAAATAGATCATTCTTTGATTGTGCAATCTAACTCAATATGCCCAAATTCATGGCAATTGCAATAATTTCAAGCTAGGGTTAATTTGGGAATGTGGACTGGTTACCAGGTCGGCTTGGATGTTCCACTCCGTGTATTCCTGTTGCTTGATCATGGGGTTGAACTAAGCACAAGCTTTTTCTACAATGCGTCGGTAAATACTAACGCTACATTTCTCTTTTCAACTTACACCAAATAGTTATTTTACTCTTTCCTTCTTATTGTCAAAGAATCTTCTACTTCGTCCACCACATATATTCATTCTTTCTTAACTTGCTAGTAGCTAGTTTTACTATTCTGTTCGATAGGACATCCTAACACTCAAAGTCACATTTCAAAGTCCAAAGTCATTCGATGAACTCATATAAATCCATGTGATTGTAGAAATATGGCTCATGCACCTTTACTTCAAAATCCTGACTATATGTCAACTCTTTGGGTTAATGGTTATTCCTTTTGGTGATCAAATAGAATTTGTCACCCCTTTGGATGATCTCCTCTCGAAAACAGCGAGCCCCTGTTGCAATTGGAGGGTTTCCCATTGCACATCCTCCATAGAATGTCTTTGGACATCTCTTTATGGATTTCTCATAAACGGAATTGTGACATTTTCATACGAACAAGTCTCCGCAATTGTCTCTTTGGTGACGTGATTGAGGTTTGGGTTTGGGTAGGCGGAAGAAGATGTATATGGATGATGTAAGGGGTGCAAGAAAATTTTTGGCCGGCCGATTTAAAAAACCAGCAATGAGAAGGAATTTTGTAGGAGTTAGTGTTGGGCATTAGTGCATGTTAGAAACTCTAGTATATGACTAAGGGTAGTCTAGTTCTGATACCAAATTATATTGAAGTTAACACAAACAACAACGGAAAAGCAAAATATTATTACAAAAATAAAACAAGAGATTACAACAAGCTCGAAACACAAATGCAACTTGAGGTTGATCCATGTGTGGTGGAGTGGGCTAGGTGAGCTGGAATAGTAGGCCGGGGTGTTGGAGGATGGCAATTTCAACAATTAAGATTTTTGGGAGATGGATGAGGTGTGGTTGGTATTTCGGGTGGTTGGAACAACAATTAAACAGCAAACAGGTGTTGTTCCTGGTGGCTGCAGCGAGGGGGAATGTTGGCATCAGCAAGGGGATGTAAGGAGCAAGGGGATGCAAGGGACTGCAGGACAACGAGAGGATGAAAATAGATAACCAGAGCAGCACCCAAACCCTCTGATAGAGCCCTCAAAGAAAAAAAAATGCACGACAGAGGCCTAAACAAACTTATGTCAAACCTTGATTTAAAACACGAAGAAACAACATACATAATATTAGAGTAACTAAGGAATGGACCCCCAATCCCTATAGACGGTAAATCCACAAAAGAGAATGGTCGACCAGCCCTCCTATACTCGTCCAAGACAAAAACACACGCGTTATTCGCACCTGTAATAATTGCGCCCCACCCCCCTCTTCAATCGAACGCCCACATCAATAAATTTAGTCTTTACCAATAACATTCTAAATGAGGTATCTTCGTATATGTTTTTTATAAATGATATAGTTTTAGTTTATGAGATAAATAAAATAAAAATGTTTAGTAGATAAAAAAAAATTAGTAGAGCAAAGACTAAGTATAGGATGTGTAATATTGGTGGGTATGATGTTAAAAATTAAAATTCAATATTATTAAAAGATAAAGTGATAGTTAGATGTAATATGTTTCGATCTATTGAATCTCTTATTAATAAAATAAATATATTAATAAAAATATAACTTTTAGAGTTAATATTGTTCAGTTGAAATGCAGAGGTGCCTTGATATTTTTGTGTAACAAGAGGATATTATAAAAGCTTAAAAAAAGTTATATAGAATAATAATCAGGTCAGCAATGTTATATAGATTTAAATGTTAGATTATAATAAAATTATTGATATCCAGGTTGAGTGCACATAAATAAGAATGATAAAATAGATATATGATAAAACGAAAAAAGAATAAATTAAAGAATAACTATATTAAAAAAAGATTAGTGACATAATGAAAATAAGATGACTGAATATATAATTAGATGATTCGGACAGGTAAAAAACCATTGTTACAAAATTAATAAGAAAAAGAAGTAGACCTAAGATAACATGAATAAAAGTTGCTCAAATTGATTTGCAGAATGAATAGATCAACTCTAATAGCAATCAACATGAATAAATGAGAAATAAGAATTTATAACGCCAACCCCATGATATGCTATAAGACTAATGATGACGATGAAACATAGAGTAATAAGGAGGAACAAAAACAAGCAAATATTTTTGTGCAGGGTCTTTAAATCCACAAATGGATGATAATTTGTTTATTAAGTCATCTCAAAACATTTAAACAAAAAACATGCTAAATGATAAAGTTAGATATATGATCATGAATGTGTGCAAGGAATTAATTTTATGAAGGTAATGTTTAGTGGGAGGGGAAAGCAAGATGTCTGTGGTTTTATCATACACACTTTTAGTAAAATTAAATGCAAGCCTAAAATGAAACAACCATTATTATTTGACAATAACTTTATCAAAGTAAAACTAGAATGAAAAATTGAAAGAATCATTCTTTCAGAAAATAATCAGAGTAAAAGTACGCAGCTAAAATAATGGTAAAGAAAACAAAAACTACTATTGAAGGATAAACTTCACTTACTAGTTGGTATTCATCATTTCTATCCCAAACAAGTACCTTCGGCAGCATTGTATTCTTATTAACATCAAATGTATCAACAAAGTCTTCCCACTGCTTAACCCCAACATAAGCAAACACCAAATCACGGTTGGCTGTCGCAGCAGACCTCAAAATCTTAATTAATTTTAGAGTTTTCTCATTCAGTTCATCATCCACAATTGTTAGAACGACTTTCCTCTCATCATTGTTCAACAGCTTAAGTGTTTCAGAATTGATGGGAACTACAAGGGGCAACTGATTTTGATGAATAAAATCCTCGACAAACCCTCCTGTATGCTTAAAACAGGAACCTTATATCATCATATTTAATTGAAAAAAGTATATAAAAAACGTGAATGTAATATTTGAATATAAGTGAAACATGGTACTTGATTAGGGAGATTGAGCAAAAGATTTAACATTTTAATGGTTATGTTTGGAAGGGATAATAATATTAATTCCCCAACAAATATGAAACTAATAATTGAAGCACTCCAGACAAAGCAATGCATTTTTCTCGTTGGTGAAAATGAATATTAGAGCATCAATCACACTTAACTCAATATATGAGATTTATGAGTCTGATCATATTTTCACAATCTTCATTGAAAATTTTATCAAAATATCTCACGTTTTTATGTTGAATATCAAAAACTAAGAAAAGTACATTTTTATCTTCATCCTTAAAATACTTTCCTTGAATTAACTTTTTACTTTTTTAGATTTATCTTGGCTAATTTATAGATATATTTTTCACCTTCTTATTATCTAATGTATTATAAAAATTATTTAAAACAGAATTCTTAGCATCACAAATTGTTCTCTTAAGACTCCCTACAGATCATCTTATATTTTTTTCAATTCTCCAATCTTTAACATTTAAACTAATTTTTATAATAAAACTTCTAAAAGAACATTTATAAAAATTGGTTTAAATGTAAAAACTTAGAGAATTGGAAAAAAATATAAGGTGGCCCATAAAAAGTCTAAGAGAATAATTTTTTTATGCTAAAAATTCTTCTTTTATTAATCTTTATTATTGATTAGATAGTAAAGATGGTGAAAAACATATGTACAAATTAGTCAAGCAAAAATATAAGAAAAGTAAAGATTTAGTTCAAGTCTATTAAGAATGAAAATCAAAAAGTACTTTTCTTAAATTAGGATATTCAACATAGCTAGTGAGATTTAAAAAACGTTTCCATAAAATTTGTAAAAATACGATCGAATTTTGTAATCTTAATACAATAGGTAATAACAAAAATTTTTATTTCCACCATTATATTATTAAAACAAAAATTGAAGCTTTAAAGAAAATAAAATATGAAAAAGTAGTAGGATCTCATAGTATTCCAATAGAAGTGTGAAAATGTTTAGGAGATCTAAAAATTTTTTGGCTAACTTTTTAATATTATTTAAAAAAAAATATGTTTGATGAGCGGAGAAAGAATCTAATAGTTCCTATTTTTAAGAATAAAAAGATACACAAGAGTGTGCAAATTATAGAAAAATTAAGTTAATGTCATACATTAAAATTATAGGAGAGAGTAATTGAACATAGGATACGGCATGATACAAAAATTTCTCAAAATTAATTTGGATTCATGTCAGGCAAGACTATTATGGAAGTTACATATTTTTTAAAAGGTTTGATGGAGAAGTACAGAGAGAGTAAAGAGGATTTACATTTGATTTTTGTTGATTTGAAAAAGGCTTGTGATAAGATTCCAAGACATGTACTTGGGGGAGTTCTAGAAAAGAAAGGTGTTAATATTAATTATATTCAAGTAATTAAGGATATGTTCACTAGACTTGCTATTTGTGTTCTAACATAAGTAAATTGACCAAGTACTTTGTTATTTCGATTAGGTTACATCTAGGATCAGTGTTAAGCCTGTATCATTTTGCATTAGTTATGGAATTTTTTACTGGAGTGTTACAGGAGGATGTAACTTAATGTATCATTTTCACTGATGATATCCTTCTTGCAGGTAAGACTAGAAAGAGAGTTGGGGAAAAACTTAAATTATGGAGGTCAACTTTAAAGTCTAAAGGCTTCATTTGAGTAGATCTAAAACTGAATACATGAAATGTAATTTCAGTAGTAGTAGATCTAGTGGCAGAGTTATAATAATAAGTGATCAAGTCATTAAAAAAATCAATGTTTTACATATCTCGGGTCTATTATTCAAAGTAATGGTGATATAGATGGGGATCTTATTAGTAAAATTCAAGTTGGATGGTTGAAGAGGAAGAATGCATCAATCCTATTGTGTGATAGAAAAGACTCTTAGACTTAAAAAGAAGATTTTATAAGATGGCGGTGAGAGTTGCAATGATTTATGGAGTGGAATGCTGCCTATAAAAGAGAAGCATAAAATTAAATTAAGTGTTATTGAGATGAATTATAGCCCTAAAGATTGTTGTTAATACTATGATTTTTAATATTATAAGTGTTTGTGCTCCTCAAATAGGTTTAGTTATAGATTCAAAAAGAAATTTTGAAATGATCTAGTAAAATTAATACAAATGATACATCTTAAAGAAAGAATTTTTATTGGAGAAGATTTAGATGAACATGTTGGTAGAGTGGTAGAAGGTTTTAGAAATATTTATGGTGGCTACAGTTTTGGAGTGACTAATGAAAAAGGTAGAATCAAATTAGATTTTGTTTTGGCGTGTAGTTTTGTTATTGCTAGTACTTTATTTTAAAAAAATGAGCATGTTATTACTTATAAAAATAGATCTAATAAAACATAAATTGATTGTTTTCCTATGAGAAAAAGATATCATCGATAATATAAAAATTGTAAGATCATTTCAAGTGAAAAATTAAGTAATCAAAATCAATTATTAGTTCTGAATTTTAAGATAAATTTTTAGATAAAGAATACAATGAAACAATGACATAGAATTAAATAGAGGCACATAAAAGACAAATAAAATTATTTTGAAGTAAGCTTCAAGATTACAATATTTGAAAGGTTCATGAAGAAGCTAATTCTATGTGAGATAAAGCAACCAGTACTACTAAATAAATGACAAAAGATATATATGGAGAGTCAAAATGAATAGTTAGTGGTTGAATAATAATGTACAAGAAAAGATAAAATATAAAAAGTTGAGTTATAAAAATTGGTTTGAATGTAAAAGCTTAGAGAATTGGACAAATATAAGGTGGTTCGTAGAGAATCTAATAGAACAGTTTGTTACGCTAAAAATTCTATCTTTAGTAATCGATTATAATGAATTACATATTAAAGAGGGTGAAAAATATTTGTATAAACTAGTCAAACAAATAGAAAAGAAAAGTAAAGATTTAATTGAAGTAAAGTGCAATAAAATGAAAATTAAAAAGTTTTTTTCTTATAGGAAGACATTCAATAAAGGTGGGTGAGTTAATTTGATAAATTTTTTAATGAAATTTCTAAAAATATGACTGATCTTAGTGAACTTAATATCATTAATAATAATAAAACATTTTATATTTATCGTCACATTAGTTAAAAAAAAGTTAATGAGACTTTAAAGAAAACCAAGGTTTGAAAATTTGTACGACCTGATGATATCCTAATTGAAATGTACAAATATTTAGAAGATTTGAGAGTTTCTTGACTTACTAAACCATTAAATATTATTTTAAATCTAAAAAGATGTTTGATGAGTGAAGAAAGAGTATTTTGATCTTTGTTTTTAAGAATAAAGGAGATGCACAAGAGTGTACAAATTATAGAGAAATTAAGTTAATGTGTCATACTTTAAAATTATGGGAGAAGGTAACTGAACCTAGGTTAAAAAATGATAAAAAAATTTCTCATAATCAGTTTGGAATTATGTCGGCCAAGTATACCATGGAAGCTATATATTTATTAAAAGATTTGACAGAGAAGTACAGAGATAGTAAGGAGGATCTAAATATTATTTTTATTGATTTAGAAAAAACATATGATAAGATTTAAAAATAAGTCCTTTGGAGAATTCCAGAGAAGAAAGGTTTTGATATGACTTATATTCAAGTCATTAAATATATGTATACTAGAGTTGTTACTTGTGTTCGAACAGAAAGAGGATTTCCCAAGTATTTTTCTAATTCAGTTGGATTAAGTCAGGGATCGACTTTAAGCCCATATCTTTTTGCTTTAGACATGGATGGTCTTGTTGAACATTTATAAGAGGATGTGTTTTTCACTGATGATATCATTTTTATGGATAACACTAGAGAAAGAATTCAGAAAAAACTTGAATTATGGAGGTATGCATTGGAGTTTAAAGGCCTTCAATCTAAAATTGAATACATGCAATGTGATTTTAGTAATAGTAGTCTAGTGACAGAGTTGTAACTATGGGTGATCAAATTATTAAAAGATGTGAACGTTTTAGATATCTTGGGTCAATTGTCCAAAGTGATGGTGTATAGACAGTGATGTTATTAGTAGAATTCAAGTTGGTTGGTTGAAGTAGAGGAATACATCGAGCCTATTGTGTGACAGAAAAGTACCACTTAGACCTAAAGGAAGATTTTATAAGATGGTGGTGAAATCTACAATGCTCTATGGTGCAGAATGTTGGCCTTTAAAATAGAAGCATAAAACGAAGGTAAGTGTTGTTAAGATGAGAATGCTTAGGTGGATGAGTGGCTTGACACTTAGAGACAAAATACGCAATGAATATATCAGTTATAGGGTTGGTGTAGCTCTAGTGGCGGACCAGATTAGAGAGAGTCATCTTAGATGGTTAGGTCACATCAAATGTCGACCATCTTATAAACCGGTTAGGAGTGTAGATGTTTTAGATTCGATTTATGTTAAGAAAGGCAGATGTAGACCTAAAAGGACTTTGGAAAATTGTATAAATAATAATCTTAATCTATTAGAATTATATGAAAATATGACACTCCATAGGACACAATGGAGAAAAGGATTTATGGAGCCAACCCCACATGATGAGATAAAGGCTTGTTGTTATTGGTGTTGCTGAGATGAGAATACTATGAATGGTTTTACGCTTAAAGACAAAATGTGAAATAAATATAACCATGAAAGGGTTGAAGTGGCTCCAATGACTGACAAGATTAGAGAGAGTCGCCTTAGATGGTTTGGTCACATTAAATATCAACCATTTGATGAACTTGTCAGGAGAGTAAATGTTTTATATTTGACCGATGTTAAGAAAGGTAGATGTTAACATAAAAAATCTTGGGCATGTTGTATAAAAAATGATCATAATTTATTAAAATTAAATGAAAATAGGAAACAATGGAGAAAATGGTTCATGCAGCCGACCCGCTTAGTGGGATGAATGCATGTTGTTCCTGTTGTTATTTTAGTTGTTAATGAGATTTATGACACGCAAGAAGCACTCATAAACTTTGCAGCCTATGAGCTACAATAAAAGATGTGGACAATTTAAATGAATATGTTATAACCTAGATCTAATTGTTTTAGTTTGTTATAACTAAAAGATCTAGGAAATTCAAGTCTGCAAAAAATGCATACATGCATGCACATTCCAAGTTTCTTAGACTTTATTTTGATGCAAGTAGAAAAAATTAATCCTGAAGCAAATGTAATAATTAATTTAATCCTACTTTAGGGTTCCTCTCACCTTCAAAAGGTCCATAAAACACACTTTGCTCGTTATAACCAGGAAGAATGGCAACCAAAGCAGGACTTTTGTCAAAATCGTAAGCTACCATAACTTCCTCCGAGATATTGTTAGCGACAGAAAACCAAGCTTTTTTCTTAAACCTTTTCCCATACTCAGCAATTAAGGATTGATCCAATCCAAAGCCAATAAATATAGGGAAATGTTTGCCAGCTTCATCAACAAAGTTATATACAGCAGAATCTGAGTTGAGAACAGAAACATCAGGTGCAACGTACTTTTTCAAAAATCTTATAAGTAGCTCAGCTTTCCGTGGACCAGTGTATTCACTAGGAATACCATGCACAAAGAGCTTTAGCGTTGGAAAACCACTGCACCAAAACAATCAAAATAAACAGTGGTACAAAAATTTGAAAACATATTTGAAAAAAAAAAACTCCATTTGATGAGAAAAATATGATTTTTCAATCAACATCACACAATAACAGTCAACTGAATGTGAACTTCGCTATGTAAATTGATTGGACTATGGGGAACTTTCTATATCCCATAGCTTCCACGAATAAAAATTAATCTACTCCAAAATCTGAAGGGTTGGAAACGAATGAAATGGGCAAGTGCATACTCAATTTCATGCTTAGAAGCAAGCTTCCTATGCTTGTCAGCATCAAGTTTAGCAATCACAATTGGCTGATTCAGGTTGGCAAGAACTGGAGCAACTGCATCTAGCTGAAAAGTACAATAAAAGTAAGCCATCAAAGAGCTGTGATCAGAAACTCTGGATAAAGCAGGAATACTTTGTATGCATATGATCCAAAAAAAAAACTGTTAAGCACATGTAACCCAAATCCATAATATACATAATGACTACACGGAACATAAAAAAAAGGGAAAAATACAAGCAGACAAATAACCTGGAAAATATGGTTAAAAAACACAAAAAGTTAATAGAAACTTTCCCTTAATTTTCGGGGAAAAAAGAAGATAAAAACCATAAAACCATGTCCGGGTCTTTCTGCCTTCAAAATTTAAGTTCGCTTATCTCACTGTTTCGGGGTAAAAAGAGACAGAAAAAATATAAAAAATAAAAACATTTTTTTTTCTTGAAATTCCGATCTTTCACATTCGAATTCAGTTCTGCAAAACAGGTAGAACCACGCAACAGTGAACTATGTCCGTCACATGGCGATGAACTATTGAAATACGCTGTCTTACTTTAGTAAGAGATGAAGAAGAAGATGCGACACAGTCAATCTCCCGCTTGAAAATAAGAGGAGAAAAAAGAGGAAAAAATAAATGCTGACCACGGGAGAAAGCCTCTTGCAGTGACCGCACCAGGGGGCATAGAAATCGACGAGAATGTGGTCGAAGGTTGAGATAGCTGAATCAAAATTGGAATCGTTGAGCTCGATCACAGTGCCATCAGCCGCAAACTGATGGGCAGCCGCCGACTGGAGGTCAATGGAACAAAACCTAGCCCAAAACAAGATCAGAAACCATTGAACGGCGAACGACAAGCGCTCCTTCGTCGCCATATCGATCTCTGCCGACCTGACTGCCGCCGGCGATTATCGGCGCGGAAACTTTTCGGCGGTGATCGTGAAGGGTCGTCTAATTCTCTTTAGTTACACAAAATAATAAATCGAAACATTACTCTTTAAATAATCAGTTCATTTGTTTATGATAAAATAAATATTGATTTTTTTTGGCAAAAAAAATAATTTATTTAACTTAAGAGATAAACTTATGTTTATGGTGCCTTCTAGAGAGTGTGTCTGATTTGAAAGGCACTTTTTGTTTATTTTTTGGTGTTGCGCGCCTTCGGAATGATGAAATGATGAACTCGGGTGTAGCCTCCGTTTCGTGGTATATGAGGTGGTATGTGTGTGAACGTAATAATCTAGCCCTCTACAATGTGCTAAATGGCCCGCTATATCCCCGATAATATCCATTCGGCCCTTCTCTCTCTATTTGGTTGTGGCTTTAGGAAAAAATTATAGCATTTTGGCCCCTTCACCCATTAGTTCATCTTAATTGCTACTCCCTCACACCAAATCACTTTGCATGTAGTATTCCCCTCCTTTTTTTGATTGTTTCTGTGGTAGTGGTTTGATGCTTTCTGTTTTACCTTTTTATTTTTCTTCTTGATCTTCTCGATTTACATGTTGGTGCTTTGGTGATATGTTGTTTGATGTGGTATGTTACTTTCCATTTTGAGGTGGTATATTGCTTGAGGTGGTATGTTGTTTGAGATGGTTAGGTGCTTTGGTGCTTGAGGCATTATAGTGAATACCATAAAATTCTCTTTGTTGTTGGCTTGGTGTTTGAGGTGATGCCGATGGAGCTTCCCAGTTATCCCTTATGGTGGTGGTGTGTTGCTTTTCCATTTTACATATTTGTTTTCCCTATTGAGCTTTTTGGTTTTCCTCTTTGTTGGTGATTTGGTGCTTGAGTTGGTGTCGATCAATTTTCCTCTCTACTATTTGTTGGTGTTGATTTAGTGCTTGTCTCTTAAAAGTGAATAGGATGTGCCATTGGGCTTTTCGGTTTTCTTCTCTGTGGTGGTTTGGTTCTGGTCATTTGAAATATTCAATTTTCTTTTAGCTTTTATCTTACATCTAAAGGGGAACTTAGATGCACAATGCACAGTTCTTATGTGTGTAAATTCATCTACATGGATTTCCTGCCCTCCTTCATTGTTTGCCTATCCGTCGAGTTATAGTTCTTTCTTACATATATTCTCCATTTAAAAGTATGATGTTCATGTTAATTAATTGTTGCATTATGTACATTTAGACTTGATATTCTTTTCATCTCTTTATCAAGATTTAATATGTATGAAAGTCTATGGAATTACATGAGTTCTTTATAGGGTTTGAATTGTAGTGAAGTTGACAAAAGTAAAGATTTTATATGTTCAAATGACCATTGTCGTTTGGCATGGTTCTGGGTTATGATCTTAAATTATATTGATTGATAATTTAATATTTTTGTATGAGATTGATCATTGATTCAATAAGTAACTACTTTTGTTTGTATATCAGTTCATGAATTAGAAAAATTGTGTTTTCTGCTTGTTTAAGTAAATTTGCTTGTTTATGAAGTCATATAAGATGTAATTTAGAGAGTCATGCAAGTGATGGTGGTTTGGTTCTTGTTGTTTATGTGGTGATGGTGTTTTAGTGCTTGTTTCTAGAAATTGAAGAGGTTGTGCCCTTACGCTCCTTTATTTTCCTCTCTATTGTGGTTTGGTCCTTACCATTAGAAATATTTGATTTCCATTTATGCTTTATCTTGCATCTAAGGGGGAAGTTACATGCTCATCACACAATTTTTATGCATGTACAAATCTTGAATCTAAACTTTATATATGTGTTGTTAAATTTTAGAGTGTCAGAAAAGTGTGTGTGTAAGAACTATGTGATGGTGTTTTGGTTCTTACTGTTTATGTGGTGGTGGTGGTTTGGTGCTTGTCTGTTGGAATTGAAGAGCTTGTGCACTTGATCTTATAGATTTTCTATGGTGGTTTTGTTCTTGCCATTTGAAATGTGAAGTGTTGTTTGAAGGGGAATTTACATGAACAACACACAATTCTTACGCTTGTACATATCAAACATTTGAAAATAATAAGTGGGTGTGATTTTGGTTTTGGTTGTGGTAGTGAAATTCACTTGTGAAGCACTAAGGCACAACCTTTTATATGCATATGTAGCAAGTAAAGTTCTTTTCATGTTTTGTGGAACACTATAATATGGAATGGTACATTTGATTTTTGTGGTCCGGTGGTCTCTCATGCCCATTGTTTGTGTGTGTGTGTGTGTGGTTTGGTTGTCTCTGTTGGTTGTGGGTATGGTTGCACTTTTTCAATGTTGGTTGTTGGTATAGGTTGACTCTGGTTTTTGTTGTGGATTTGCGTTGATGGTTTTAAAGCGTGTGTCTTTGACCCTTTGATTTTTGAAATAATATATAAAATAATGATAGACAAAAGGCTAAAGAGCTCAACTAACCATCAATTATCACATTTATACTTGTTCCCGCCTTTTTGACACTAATACTACCTGGTCTAGAAAAAACACACCAAATTGTTATCTACAAATTCTACCTGGTCTTAAATCACATATGCCACAATTAATCTGAGATACTACCTATTCTTAAAGCACATCAAACTATCAACTATTTATACAATCTTGTTTTAAATCGCACATGCCACTATTAAACACATATACTGCATGGTCTTAGATGAATTTATTTTACTAAGTTCTAATTCAATCCGTTATTTTTTTTCCAAAATTTGTTTCAGATTTTATAATTATTTTTTAAATTGCTCAACTTTTTTTTTCATCTAAATTTTTTTTTCTACATGATACGTCAGATGGGTAAACAAAAGGAATGTGAGATATCAACCATTTGGGAGAGGGAGGCAAAGATCATCTTTTGAGATTTATTCTTGAAAGAGTTGGAAATTGGCAATAGAATAACCATGCATTTCAATAAGGAGTGTTGGAAAAAAATTACCAAATACTTTCATAAGAAACTAGAAGATTGTATGACAAAACAGTTGAAGAACAAATAAGTTCAACTGAAGAAATATTGGAAATTGTGAAAGGAGTTGAAGAGAGGGGCTACTGGATTAAATAGATACCATACTAAGGAAAAGATAAATACATCGAAGGAGTGATGGAGAGAAAAAATTTTAGTATGTAAATTAGGCTAATGATGCAAATGAGTTCGCTCCGGATAGTGATCAAGCGAGGAGAGATGTTGTGGACAAAAATTATTTTGAAGACTTGATCATTTGGACTTTAAGGCAAAAGTCATTATAGCCTTGTTATTCATTTTAGTAGCTCTTATTATTACAATTTTATGTGTTAAATGATGACTTACAATTGATGTATTGAAGAAATTTAGACTCCTAACGTGTTTTCTATATTGCTAGTTGTTATTATGCTACAATTATTTTGATGTTGTGGTCATTTACATAGTTTACATATATAAGGCCAGAATAGTCTTTTTTATCAGAAGTGTTGCAACACGGTAGATTATCCAAATTGACTTCTGCCACTCCAACAACTTTCTAATAGAAGATGTAAAGCTACTTCTCCAAAAAATAGCTTCACAGTTGCTTCTTCAAAAAGTAACAGCTGCTCCAAACACGTACTTAACTTATGTTATAAATTTTTATTTGGGTGTCTACTCGTGTTACACCTAAAACAGTACCATGATTTGGGGGATTAATATATACGTACCACTTAATTCTTATGTATGTACCCATGTCAGTTTCATTTTTTGAGACAGGATTTTGAATACCGTGCATAGTAAAAAATTTAGTTATTTAAATAATCAAACACAACATCAAAAGTAATACAATATCTCGAGAGAAAGAGATATCACTTTATGATGGGCTCAATTTTCTAAATTAAGGAATTTTGGATTTTTACACTGGTCTACAATAAAAATTGAAAAAAAAATTTCCTCTATATAACTATGTAGGGTTTATATTAATCTTGGGTATTAACTAAGGTTGTAATTGAGCTAAGTCATGTCGAGTATATCATAATTTGAACTTCGCATGATATAATTATAAGTTGTTCATGTTTGACTTGAGCTTGTGTCGAGCTTTCATATATTATTCAAGCTTGACTTATTCAAATTTTTCAGTGGTGAATTTGATTTGTACTTGATTTATTTATGAGAAGTGAACAAGTATTTAAAAGAGCTAAAAACTTAAACGGTTATCTAGATTTTCATATAAAAATCAATAATAATTTTATAGATTTCATCAAACTATTAATTTATTGATTAAAAATAGTAAAGCTTAAAATATCTTAAATCTCATTTCTCTTTCATTTTAGCATAAATCCCTTACTTAGGGGTTGTTTAGTAAAATGATTTGTGTAAAATTTAAGCATGATTTAACCTAAATTTTACCAAACAACTAATAATTAAAACTTTAAATCCTACATAAACTTAATATATGAGTATTTATATATCATATATGATAAAAAGCTATCAAGAAACGAGTTAATATTTTAATTAAATTTTATTTAAACAATATATCATATATGATATGAGCTATCTTTGAGCTTAATATTGAGTACTTAACAAGTAGCTTGCTAAACAACAATCAAGTTTGTTCATGAACATAAATGAATAAGTTTAGCTATGTTCATGTTTAGTTCAGTTAAGGTTCAAGCTTTTAAAAATTGTTCATGCTTGTTTATTTAATAATTTAAATAATTATGTTAGAGTCTTAATAAGGCCGAGTTTGAGTTGATCTTTGAGTGCATTGGTTCATTTAAAAACCCTAGTCTAAACTTTTTATAACCACAAACTCCTATAGTTAATTACATCCTAAGTAAGTAAAGTTACTTAAAAAAACTTTTAGTTAAGGTTGTGATTTTGTTTTCAATAAATTTCTAAGTATTGGCTTCCATGATTAGTTACCAGGAACTCCGAATGAGAAATGCATAATAGTGGAACAATTATTATCGAAATCTAAAGGAAAAAAAGTAGGAGATGTTGAAGATATTCAAAAACTCAGTGACATCTCGATTATCATATTATTTGACTTTATTGATTTTGAAAGATATTTATTTGATGTTAATCTTAACATTTCATTAGAAATATAAGACTTA